CATATTAATAAACAATCGTTACTTATAAAACTAATTCGGATATTACAATCTTCTTATATTCGTTACATTTAAAAATTGTTTAGAAGGACAACACATCTTGAAAGTCATGCCTCTTCTAATAACACCAATCTTAAGATCATCAGGAAGGAAATCATGTTTTACATTAAACATACACGATGTCCTTTTTAAGATTTGAATTGTGGTTGATTGCAATTATTCTCAATGCATAGCAGTACCGTCATGTTGTGTTTTCGTGTAAACTTTCTTATTTTAAAAAACTAAGAACCAAAACTATTCGGTGTAACGAGTCAGTTTGCTAAAAATGATATTGGAGGTCCGTGTCGTTTGAGTGGACATGGCAAACATTTGTTATAATATATTAATAAATTAAGCACGAAAATCCAGCTTGGGCTCTGTAGCTTGTTGTTAAATATTTTTTTATTTTGATTAAATTTTTTTATATTCTTTATTTTTTGATTAAATATTTTTATTTTTTTAATATTATTTTTATTTTTTTATTTCTATTTTTTGTTTTTTTTATTTATGTATTTATATTTTTATAATATACAAAATATGGTAAAATGTGGTGATACATCTAGTGACAGTTGTATTAATTCCTAATTTTTGTTCTTACCTGTACTCGCTGTCACTACGTGCTCAGTTTATTTTACCTTTGTATTATTTTACTTTTGAATAAAAGATCCTCGAGTTTATTACGAAAGTACGAGTTCGCATTTCTTTGGATTCCATTGCGGCGACTCTTGTCCCCACACCTTTTACGGACTTAAACATAACAATTTATAGATTAGGAACTCGTATTTGTATTAATTTTCTAAATTCTGGAAGGATAAGTTATGATATTGATGCCATTCCTTAATTTAATAATGATTGATATTTATAAATTACATGTCTTCTTTAAAAATAGATACGTTTTTATCGTTTTATATCATATTTGTTTCGATTGTCAGTAATAAAGACAAACAAATATTTTTAGTACCAATTAGTGACACATGTATTAACTAAAAAAATATGTATTTTGTGATGTTTTCAGTTTACTCACAATATTTCTTAATATCTACTTAACTTTGGGTGCTTATTTTTTATTTACTTTTAACTTAATAATAGCTAGAATCAATCGACGAAGGGACCGTCGATTCATAGTCGTCGCCTCATAAGATATCAGTAAGCAACTGCTCGATTTGCCACAGTTCGCAGCATGCTTATAATCATAATATTCTAGCGTTTACCAAAGCGTTTAATTTTATTCAAAATTCATTGTAATAGATAATATGTACAATTTAGAATACCAACACATTTTTTAGAATGAACATTGATCAATATTAATTGTTTTATTGAGTAAAAAAGACACGATTGTCACAAATTGTGACATTGTCACTAATTGGGACATTTATCTTAGTGACATTTGCGAAAAAAATTCATTTCACCTTGTGGAGTACGTCAAACTATGCAATTTTTTAGAGACGTAATACGTCTTTACTTTTGAAGAGACAGTGGAAGGGGAAAAAAATAAATTTAAAATCTGACAAATGCTTTTTAAAGTAGAGACTTTAAACTTCAAAATGAAACAAAAACTTTTCAAATACAACAATTTTTGACGGAGTTACGATTATTTGAAGTTATGCGAAATTTTGATATAAATTTACTGTTGCGATAATTTTCTTGCCCAGTGTATTATATTATAATTTTTATCAACTTCTTTTAGAAATTTTGAAGTAAAATAATTGTTTTATTTTATTTGTTGAAGAACTGTCTCAATACAGTTTATTTATAATGTTGCTAAAAATTTTTAAACAATAGTGTTTTTTTTTTAAATTAATATCTGAAAATTAAAATATGTACTAAAAATTAGAATAGAAATATTGAGAAAATGAAAAAAAGAGTATTGAAATGAATTATTAAGTTATCTATTAAGTTTGGAAAAAATACACTTTTTTTATGTATTTATAAAAATAAAAGTTTTTAAGAAAATTTATAAAATCTTTTTAAATTGAAAGGAAAGAGAGAAGGGGTGAAGAGAGGGGAGAAGAGAGAGAGGGTGAGGAGGGGAGGGGAGGGGGCAGGAAGGGGAGAAAGAGAGAGGGGGGGAGATCGGTAAAAAGTATGAGATTTATTCTTCCAAACTAGCTCTTACATTCACTTAAATTTTGTCTTTTGCTGAACTCATTTCTAAAGGTTAAAATTGTCTAAGCCGCGAATACTGAATTAATCAATGCATTGTTTTTATTTTGTGGAAAGTGCGAGGAAAAATGTTTAGGTACAATTTTGAGTGATGCTAATGTAATTCGACACACCTTATTCTACATAAAACCACATTTTGCAAAGATTGAGAAAGGGGACTTTTCTTATGGTTTAGACAATTTTCCTTCAAAAATGAGTTCAACAGGTGTCAAAACATAAAAAAATGTACATTATGGAGGAACTGTATTATCATTAGATTAATTGAAATGTTAATCCGAATCATGGATTGAAAATTTTCAGGAGAATTGGGTTTAACTGTAAGAGAAACGTCAAACGGCGTCTATATTGAGAGTCTCCGTCCGGCCACCACAGCGGATCGCTGTGGTGCTCTGCAAGCAGGAGATCGACTGTTAGCTGTGGATGACACACCCATCCAGGACGCGGTGACTGCTGCCAAGCTGTTTAGAAACAATTCTGAAAGCTGTCGCATCGCCAGGTTGCAGATATTACCGCGACCGCCGAGTGCGAGGACGGTCAAAAAACGGGCACAGCCGCAAGCACAGCAAAACTCGAGTCAGGCCTTGCAGATGAAGGAGAGTTTGACCGTCGTTCTACGACCAGATCATCGAGGCTTTGGACTCGTACTCAAACCGGCTGAGGATCGCATAAGTTATGTAGTGAGTTTGTTGGAAGCTGGCGGTCCAGCGGAACGAAGCGGTGTTCTTTTGCCTGGTGATAAGGTGATCGCAATCAATCGGAGAATGTTACGTGATCTACAACAGACAGAAGTAGTCAACTTGCTAGAAACGTCGCAAATGGTAAATGTTTTTTTAGCTTTAAACTTTACATAAATAAGTATACGAGGGTAGTTTAAAGAGTAAAAACATCAAACACCATAAAAACTAAAAAAAAAATGTTGAAATTCGGTATTAGGTGAATAAAGTGAGTTTATTTGATGCATGATAATGATAGCAGTAGGAAAATATAGGAGAAAAAAAGTAAAAGAAGGAGAAACACACATAAGATAGGCTGTGTTAGAAAGTGGGAAGATAAGATATAATAGAAGAAAAAAGGAAAAAAATAATAAGAATGGAAATGTATAAAGTGGGCTCAGATTATCATCCAGATAGTTTAATTAAAAGAAAAAAAAGGGAAAAAGATACGGACAAAAAAAGGAAATATGAATAGGAATGAGAAGGGAAAAAAGATTCTTTAAAAGAAAGATAAGAAGAGTAGGATGGATGGAAAAAATATACAGGAAGAGATGGAAAGAATCTAAAAGTAAAAATTATAAAGGTAATAGAGAAGACGGAATAAGAAAGGGAGGGGAGGAGAAGAAATGAAAGAGGATGATAGGATGAAGATTGAGTGAAGGAGAAAAAGAATTGAAAAAGAAATTGAAGAAAAGAGAAAAGTAAAAAGAAAATACAAATGAAAAAGAACAAAAGAGAAATATTATAAATATAAGAAGGATGCAAAAAAAAGAAAAGAGAGGAAAAATATTATAGATAAAATTGGCAGATGAAGTAAAGAGTGATTCTGCCAAATCTGTTTGAGAGAGATAGTAAATAAAGAGAAAAAAAAGAAAGAGAATGAAAAAAGAAATAGGGGTAATTAAATGGTAGTAGTATTTCATGGTGTTATTGAAGAAACACATTACATCATTATACTTATTAAGACATTTGTTTCGCATAAGTTTTTATATTTTGTTATCATAAAATTTTGTTAATTGTGCACTCACGAGCACGATCATAGCGCTACCTTTATTTTTATTTCTTTGTTTTCGTTGAATTTTTTATTCAGTCAGATGATCTTTAGGGTAGTTCAACGATTTCTCAATTATTCAAGATTTATTTGAAACTTTAAGAAATAAATGTATGCAATGTCAGGCAATATTTCAAATTTTTATAGAATTTTTAACCATATAGTTATTTAAATATCCTTTATTTAACAATACATTCACTCAATAGTTTTCATAGATTAATCACATAAAAGTCGGATAATTTTATCTAATTAGGAAAACTTATCAAATTAGAAAAATAAGAAAACTACTTTCAAAATATTTGCAAAAAAATTGAATATAATTAGATAATGTATTAGATATATGTTATAAAAATCGCATTTAAATTTTGCAAACAATTACCCCGTTGTTGAATAATCATTATGATAAAAATGACATAATTTAATATTGTGCGTAGAGAACAGAAGGACGCAGCAAAAAAATAGTAACAGCGTATAACGATTTTTCTTGCAAAATTTGATATATAAAAACCAATTTTTAGTTTCGTAAAATAAATTTATAAAATTTTTTATATTTTGCAAGCCAATTTACATAAATAATCTCTAATCAATGTTATAGTAATGTACGTGTAAGCATATATCGTCATTTACGTATGGACAGTACAGTCAAGTAAAACAAAAACTCTTCCATCTACTGTTTCCTTTACACAACATTTTTTTTATATATCTAACTCTATTTAGTAGTAGTAGTAGTAAGGATATCGGGTGGAGCTAGTATACAGCCTCTAATGTCACTTAGATCAAAAAGTTCTTTTGTGACTCCCTACTAGTGTTGAGGTTTAGCTTGTCAAGTCAAGCCCAGCATTCGCCGCCAGCTATAGCTGTTAACCCTCATTTTGTTCAGATCCTTTGGCTCAGGAAACATAAAGCCTTAGGATTTATAGTACTTTTTAGTGCTAGGACAGGGCAATAACACAGGGTGCGATTGCTATTTTTTTTTCCTCTCTACATTGCCTGCATTTTTTCTGCTCAACTAGGTTGTATAAGTCTGCGTTAAGGGGCACATGTGCTATTAGGAGGCTGATGTGTATTCTCAGTCTCCTTTTGTTCATTGTCAAGAGTTCATCTGTCCTACTTAGCAGTAGTTGTTTCATCAGGAGCTTAGCTTGGCGACAACTTCTTCCCCAAGAAACTAGGTATTCTCTTACACGATAACTCTTGATGATTCTTTTTCCGACAACAAAGAGGATGCCAACAATCTGCTCGGTAGGGTTCTTACAAGTTCCCCCTTCGCCAGATCATCCGCCATTTCGTTGCCGTGTATACCTTAGTGTCCAGGTATTCATACTAGGGTGATCTTGTTATGCTCACTCAGTTTTTGAAGTGCTAACATGCAGTCCCATACCACGAAAGATTTCATGGTAGTTTTAGCAAAAACATCTATAACTACCCTACTATCTGTACAGATGAGGACATTTCTGTTTTTTACCTCTTTTTGGATTTGGATGTTTACGCATTTAAAGATGGCTAAAACCTCGGGTTGAAATACCGTGACCAGCTCTCTCATGGGAATGCTTTCTCCATGGGAATGGTTTGTTTTTGAACCATAAATACTCACTCCAAAGCAACCATTCGTTCTTGATCCATCCGTGTCCACATTTGGATGAGAAATTCAGTTTACTCCAGTCCTTACTGGTTGATATCTGAACTTTAAAAGTTTTAATTATCTGATGTTTCCTGGGTATCCTATTTTGTTTTAAGGTAAAGGGGCGTCTATGGAGAAACACTAGTTCAGTATGATCTAATCCAATATGTCTTTACTCGCCCTGACACCTTAATCTGTATGCCATTAGTCTGGCGATGTTGATGATCGTATGATCTAGAGGAGAGAAACTAAGTGTTATCTCCAGCGCTTCAGTTGGTGTTGTTTTCATGGCCTAACTTTATTTATTTTCTATATTTTTGGCAGTAATTTTATTTGAATTATCTTAAGGATAAAAATAAAATAAAAATTGTTTTTTTTAATTGAGATTTGGAATGAGATTGGAATGTGTGAACAAGATAGTCTATAACTTATAGATATATAATTTCTCGTTAATTGTAATTCAATAAATCACAAAAACTTGTACGTAGGATGAACAAATATCTTAATAAATAAGTGGTAATTATACAGGGTGTTCCATTTTAATTTATCAACTTTTTTATTTTCGCAGGGTAAGGTGAATCAAAAATATGTTCAGATAAAATATGTTCAGACAAAAGTTGTTTGGTGTTAAGGGAGTTATCTAACAGTGATCTTGATTTGACCTTTGATTAAGGTTAGAGGGGGGTTATTTCAAGGTCAACTTTATTTTTCTAAATAAAAATCTTTATTTTTTAAAACACATATAATGGAAAGGCTCATATGATAACTAACAAATACAATATAATATAATAAAAGAGTATTAAGAGGATGCTGGAGTTACCGGCCGGACATTATATTTTTTCGAACAAAAATATCTTTTTATTGGTTGCATAGAATTGTAAATCCTTTTGCAGGATTAAAGTGTACAGAAAGACGGATCTCGGACTGCTCGACTTCATTCGAAAAAAAAGAATTAATAACAAAATTTGTTTCTATTTATTAATTTCTATTCTGCTCTTAGGATAACATATTGTATAGGGCTATCTATTTTCGTTTTTTATAAAAGTTCAACAGTTTTAAGACGCTGAATAAGAGCAGCCCGAATTGCGGACTGCAGAATAGAATGTTATGGAACCATTAAAATTAAGCTAAAAAGTCTAATGTAAAAAATATTCTTGTCCGATTATTTTTACAATACGTGTGCGTCCAATATCGGTATAACAGACGAAAAAACAGCAATAAATTAGTTCCCGGATAATATCAGAGAGGCGCTGTATAGTTCTCAGTGCTATCTGTTATATACATAAGAATCTTTTAGGTTAGTGTGCGTGTGTAGTTATGTGTGTGTATTATTTGCTAAGAAACCTGACTGAAGATAGGTTGAAGGCACTCCAAAGGATAAAAAAAGTGTATGTATCATATGTATATTAATTTTGCAACATTTTTGCAACATTTCCATTATTTATTGTAATTACATACACTTATATTCTAATTTCTGTAAAATACTTTAATTCATGTGCTTTATGTGTATATATTATGTATATTATGTGCTTTATATATGTATATTTACATCAAAATATCTATGTAAAAAGTTAATATCATTTTGTATATTGTATAAATATTTTTATAATAAATGAATACGTCTTATAATTTATATTATGTATAAATAAGTTATATGACGTATGACATATGTCATATAACTTATTTATAAAACATGAAATATAAAGGTATTTTTAGTTTTTTGTATGTATCATTTGTAAAAAAATCTTGATAAAAGAGACAATATTAATTTTGTGATTTGTAATAATCTGTTTCAATATATACTTCTTTTAAATACTTACAATTAGCCTTATTTTATGCGTTTACTTTGGTATCTAAAATACACATCAAAATATAAAATTTATTTCTATTACAGTAGAAAAAAAATATGTTATTATATATAATGTTCAATTTTAACAGTTTTTATTGGACTGTACTTTAGGTAATATTATATTTTGCCATTTCCGTTATAAGACAATGTTTCTTTTCTACTGTAATAGAAATACATTTTCAATTTTGATATGTATTTTAAATACCAAGTTAAGCACATAAAATAAGGCTAATTTTAAGTATTATTTAAAAGAAGCATATATTGAAACAGATTATTGCAAATCGCAAAATTAATGTTGTTTCTTTAATCAAGATGTTTTTACAAATGATAGACACAAGAAATTAAAAATATCATTATATTCCATGCTTTAGAAATAAAAAATATGGCATATATCATATACGTTTTTTATAAAAACAGTATACAAAATAGTGTTAATTTTTTACATAGATATTTTGATATGAATATAGCTAATATGGAGCACAATATACATAATATATACTTATATATATATATATATATGTATATACATAAAACACATAACGTAATAAAAGTATTTTACAATAAAAAATAAGACAAGGCGATCT